AAAAAAAAAAAAAAAAAAGAAGTTTCTCCTTTTACTGGTCCATTTGTAAATGCAGCTGCATTACTTCGGAGACTCAGAGAATGAGTGTACTTTTTTCCTGTCTATTTTTCTGCAATGTCTAAAACCTGGTCTATTTTTAACCTGCTAAGGCCCACAGCATGTACCTTGGCTGCTTTACTGACCCAGTTCAAGTTTGGTCTGCCCCAGTTCCTCTTCCATTGTCAGTGGGTTAGGTTCCTAGGCAACTTTTCTTATCTTCCTCACATCCTCTCAGACACTGAATCTCCTCTCTTTTAGCTGGCTTCTTTTTTTATTTATTTTTGAGACAGAGTCTCACTCTGTCACCCAGGCTAGAGTGCAGTGGTGTCATCAGAGCTGACTGCAACCTCAAACTCCTGGGCTTAAGTGATCCTCCTGCCTCAGCCTCCAGAGTAGCTGGGACTACAGGCATATGCCACCATGCCCGGCTAACTTTTCTATTTTTAGTAGAGATGGGGTCTTGCTCTTGCTCAGGCCGATCTCGAACTCCTGAGCTCAAGCGATCCTCCCGCCTCGGGCTCACACAGTGCTAGGATTACAGACGTGAGCCACCATGCCCAGCATTTAGCTGGCTTCTTCTGCTAGCATTTAGGTAGAAGGTTCAACTCAAGCCCAGGCAGTCAGGTAGTCAGTGGCAGTGTGAGGCTAAGGCCCCAGCCCAGCACCCTTCCATTATACCATGCTCCTTGCATCTTACATTCCTGTTAGCAAATCTAATGGTTGAATCTTCCCTTCTCTTTTTGGTTATAAAAACCAGTAAGGCACAATGGAAAATTTAAGTGGAAACATTAAATACTATAAATGCCTTCTAGGTACTGACAGTTCCAGATAGGTAAGGCTTATATGAAGGAAAAAAAATCCTAAGTATGTGATGTCACAAACGTAATAAAAAACCAAAAGGGGCCAGGGTAAAAATATCACACAAAGGCTCAATCTAAAAATCAGTGGGAAGGTATCTGCTAGGGAACGAATGCCTCAAAAGTTAGGAACAACAATATTTACAAAAAGAACACTTTCCACTGACAAAGCAATTCCTATGTGTTGCAGGAAACCAAGTACTACATTGCTTATAAAAACAGCAGAGTCAGAAGTGGAATTTCCTTTGGTTAGATGAACAGTGTTTCTAGTAATATTCTTAGGCATTAAAAGACTGAGGATCTGCTTGACGGCCATGAGCTAGGTACTCAGACTCCAAATATTTCTACAAACTCTTCCCACCTCAAGCACTGAAGGAATAATGAGGAAACAAAACTAGGCTTCTGATTTGAGAGGCAAATTGAAAATAAAAATAATATGGACAGCAGCTAAACTTGACTACATTTTCTACGTACCAGGTTGGTATCAAGTAAGTGCTTCGTATGTATTTACCTCATCAAATCCCACAATCTCTTGAGGTAGGTATCATTCTCCTTTTACAGATGAGAAACCGAGGCACAGTGAAATTAAGCAATTCGTGTAATGTAGTGAAATGGCAGCTACTGCAGTAGTATTATGATTAGACTTCCGTTCTAAAAGGATCCTCCTAGTTGATCTATTTAGACTGCATTAGACCAAAGACAGCAGTATGGAGTCTACTGCAGCAACCCAGAGAGATAATGATGGCTTAGACCAAGGACACAGCCGTGGAGGTGGTGCAAAGTGGTAGGATTGTGGATTTTGCTTTCTGATTACATCTAGATTTCCTAACAGATTGGACATGGGATGTGAGGGACAAGAGGGGAGTCAAGGAGGATTCCAAGAATTTTTGCCTAAGCAACTACCAACCGGAATTATGGAGTTGCCACCAACTTCGTTGGGAAAGGCTCTGGGTATAGCATATTTTGAGAAGATGAGTAGTTCAATTTTGGATATGTTAAGCTTGAGAAGTCTATTAGACAACAAATAAAAATGTCAAGTAGGCACTGGGAAGTACAAAATCTGGAGTTCATGGAAAAGGTCTGAACTGGAATTACAAATTTGGGTGGTTTAAAGCCTTGATATTTGATGAGACAACTGAGGAGCCCAGGGTATATAGAGAAAAGCACAGGACTGAAGACTGAGATATGGGGGCTTTCTAACATGAAGAGGTCAGGGAGAAGAGGAAGAACTAGCAAAGATTACTGAGAAGCTGCCAATGGGGCAAAAGGAAAATAAAAAAGTGGTGTCCTAGAAGCCAAGTGAAAGAAACACGTCAAGGAGGGAGTGATCAATTGTATCAAAAGAGGCAAGGAGATAAGATGCTATTTGATCACTGGGTATAGCAACATTTGTATATTTTATATACAAGCCCTTTATCAGGTATGTGTTTTACAAATATTTTCTCTTAACATTTCTTGCAAGGCAGGTCTAATTAAGATGACAAAGTCTCTTAACTTTTGTCTGGGAAAGTCTTGATTTCTCCCTCAGTTATGAAGGACAATTTTGTAGGATACAGAATTCTAGGTTGGTGGGGTTTTTCTTAAACACTTTTCTTTCAACACTTTAAGTATTTCACTCCACTCTTTTCTTGCTTACATATTTCTGTGAAGAAATTCAATATTCTTTTTTTTTTGAGACAGGGTCTCTCTCTGTTGCCCGGGCTAGAGTGCCGTGGAATCAGCCTAGCTCACAGCAACCTCAAACTCCTGGGCTCAAGCAATCCTCCTGCCTCAGCCTCCCGAGTAGATGGGACTACAGGCACAGGTCACAACACCTGGCTAATTTTTCTATTTTTTCGTAGAGACGGGGTCTCGCTCCTGCTCAAGCTGGTTTAGAACTCCTCCCGCCTCGGCCTCCCAGAGTGTTAGAATTACAGGCGTGAGCCACCGTCCCCGGCCTCAATATTTTCATCCCTTTTCCTCCACGGGTAAGGTGATTTTTGTCCTCTAGGTTCTTTCAAGATGTTGTCTTTGATTTTCTGCAATTTG